AAGCCGCGCAGGCCCCACTGGCGGCGCAGGGGGGAGTTTGGGGTGGAAGGGGACGGTTTTGTCCTCGTCCTCTCGTCCCACCCGGGGGTCTGCTGTGCTGCTCCTGCCCTCAGTGCGGGGCAGCGCCGGGAATCGGCTACGGGGCCCCAGTTCCTGGCGTTTTAGGCAGCTTTGCTCCAGGGCTGACAGGACTTACGGAGGTCTGGAACTCGTGTCCACCTCTGCTTTCCCTTGGTATCATGGAGAAGGAAACCAAATTTCTTCTCTCTTTATTTTTGTTTTTGTATTTTTTTGCTCTTTTCTTGACTTTTGTAAGTGCATTGTACAGATTTTGGTTAGGACCCCCAGTGTGTCTGTGAGCAGGGCCTCGAAACTGTGTACTTTGCCTTTGTGAGCAGCTCGAGTCGCTCTATCCTCGTCCCGGCTGGGTTGAATTGGATCCCGAAGTGCTTTGGACTCAATTTACTGAAGCGGTGAAAGAGGCTGTTCAAGGTAATGCTTATAAAGCTTCTGAGAAGGAAAGTGCCTCAATTTGTTAAAAATAGTTAAGCTCTTGATTATTTTTATGCATTAAAAAAATGTCATGTATTGAGGATTCATTATTGAGTGTAGGGCTACAGAATAAGGCCTTATTCAATCATTATGTGAAACAGGGCACTTTAGTTACTTGTTTGTTTAAGTGGATCCAGGTTAGGACTGAAGCTGGGCAAGCAGCAGTTGTGCATATTGGATTTATATGTGGGTGACAGAGCCCTGTTGCTCCAGCTTGTTCTTCATACCTCTTATCTCAGTGCCTTCTTGCTTTCTTTCCTTAAATTGCTTTCATTCCCCTGTATCTTGATGGACAAGGGATATGGGCTTTTCATCCTGCTCTAATTCCCTGTTATTCAGCTGCTGCTTTGTGTGTGTGAACGTGAGGGTATGCGAGAGTGAGGAGGGGTGCATTGTCCCTACCCGCGCACCCTTTTCCTCTGTTACAACCTGACACTCTCCCTGCTGTCACCAGGTCCTCTTTGCTCCCTAACTCCTGCTGCCTTCTCACCGTGCCTGCTCTGGCATGCCAGGATCCAGAACAGGTTGCTGGCAGTGCCACCTTGATGCCCAGAACCCATCAGCTCTTGCTTTCTCACACTGTCCCAGACTGGAAGGTAGCCTGGGAGACAGGCAGGGTAACCACTGCACAGCGTGAGCTGCAGCTGAGTATTTGAGTCTCTGCGTCTTCCTTCTCAACAGCTATGGCACTTCTGTGGCAGGAAAAGCCATGCTACCCTCACTTCTAAGGACGAGGCTTTCCTAATGACTAGGTCAAATCGGGAAGCAAGATTCCCCAGCTAGTTTGTTTTGTTTTTCTCCTTGATGGAAGCTGGCTTTGCTTAAAGAGGAAGCTAGGGAGTTGTAGGTGGCACAGGGGAAATGAGGAGCACACAGCTTGTGGAGAGGAGGAGGAGTAAGAAATGCCACTTCAGTCAGCAGTGAGCTGCAGCAATACTGATGTGATTTTGCTTTCAGTTTAGACCCAGCTGGCAAGGGAAAGGAAACGTTGCCCTTCTCCAGGTCTGCTTCTGTATGCTGTCACACGCGACACGTGTGTGGACAGTGGCAGCAGGGAAACACTGATTTGATTTGCAGCTGCTAAGGGGCGGGGGGGTTGATACCATTTGACTGCATGAATGCAAAGACTTTCCTATAAGGGAAGGGGCAGAAATGCACGTAGAGGTGGGTGGAGCAGGATGACCCCTTTCATGTCTTCAGTTGTCACTTACAGGGTCTGCAGTAAGTACTTATGCAAAGAAATAACTGTATGTGAAATTCATCATATGAACGTGTGTGAACAGGATGTTGTTAATCACAGATTTGCTCAGATAAATAGGTTGGGAGATCTTCCGAACAGTTTGAATTAACTATATTGTGTGTGTTATTTAAGTGGAGTTTCTTAGTATATATTACTTTCACATAATTTTGGTTCTGCAAGTAGGCATGGAAGAGTTATGGAAGCTGGCCACATCTGTTTTGGGAATTGTTGGGGACAAATTTGCCCAAGTCTTAAACGTCTATATTATATTATTTATTTCCTAAACATTTTGTACGTTTATTATAGAAGTATGGTATTTTTCTTCTGCTCCTTTGATCTATTGCATTTTTTGGCTTATTTTAGTTGCAGGAGTTCACATGAGGCAAATTGCTGGTCTTGGCATCTCAACGCAGAGATCAACTTTCATTACATGGCACAAGTATGTATATAGTGTGTTGCCAAATTCATATTTATGCCATAGATTGGATGTAAATGCTTGTGGGATTCCTCAAGTCAAACTGCAACCTGGAACAGCAAACAGCAATCTGTCATTTTCTTCTGTGTTTGTAGATGGTCAGTCTAAAGCAGTTCGAAACAGTTTATGAGTTTATGTCCTTTTTGATTTGTTCTTAGAGCTTTGAAAAAAAAACAACAAAAAGTTATTTTCTGTTTTTCTTCAGTTTAATTTTGGTGAGAAACCTTGCACCAAAAATTATTGCTGTGTAAGGTCTGTAACTAAAGCTTGTCTGTTACTAACTCAAACCCAGCAGGAGTCCATACGCTTAGGTAGGAATTAAATGTCTGTGTTAGAAGTAGCCTCTGATGTTGATTTTTGGGCAGAGTATTCACGTAGTTTCTAATGGAAATGTTCAACCACTGCTTTTCAGGGGGACAGGGAAACCTTTTCATAATTTTATAAGCTGGCAAGACTTGAGATGCGCCGAACTTGTGAATTCTTGGAATAGATCCTTTCTGCTGAAGGTAAAGTTGTACTAAGATGTTGCTTTGAATTCATATAAGCCATTTCATCTTATGAAGATCGAGAACAATATGCAAAATCTTACCAATAACATGCTGTGGCCTAAAAACAATTAAAAATATCTAGACAAGATTATCATGGAAAATGGTACCGGAAAAGAAAAATGTGGTGCTGATAGCCTAGAGATGGTTCACTATGGGAAAATATTTCTGTAGATCTGTCACACATTTTGTTACTTGTTAGTCTCTATCGTGTAATAAAACGTTGTGTGTTAATGCTGTTCAGGCATATATTTTTGGATGTGGCTAGCTCTTGTTTGACAGTATTTTGGGTAGGGTTTTCTGACATTCTCTGATTATCTGGAGAGGTATGTCTTAGGCTTCCCATAGTTTCTGCTTCATTTTAAAAGAGAAAGGTTAACTCTAAATGGGGGAAAAAATAAGGTTAATATTTGTTTTGGTGAATGAAAATGTTTATAACATCTCTATTAAAAAATATTTGAGTCTGCCTGCTGTAGGGACACTTTAATTGGAGTAATGGTATACAACTCTGTCAACCACATTGCATTCTGTAGTCATGAAGGTGAACTACCTCTTGTAATGCATCTATATGCCATAAGTCAGAAAACCAGACTTGATTAGTGCAGCTCCTTTTCTCTGTGTATTGTTCTAGCTATTAGAATCATGAACTAGTTCTTAAAAACTACATGTGTAAGTATTCTCTAACAGAATTTTAGTATTCTGATTTGATATCCTGTCAGTTACTTCATCCTTAACGATTAACTGATATAGATCTTTAAAGGAAGAGACTGCAAAATTTAATAGCTCTCTTTTTTTTGAAACAGGTAATCCATGTTATTTTTACAGTGCTTCATTTCTTGACTAAGAATGATCGATACTTGGCTCCAAGTTCTTTTACTTTTTCAACAAAACAAGCTTCATTGAAGTTGTCATGGGTTTTCAAAAACCTGCATGAGGTAGGCTGTGAAAGAAGAAATAACCTTTTTCAGTCATAATAATGGCTAATGACTTGGCTTACTTGTAAACCTGTTCAGTTTTGATTTGCTTGTTCTTTTTCTCCGTGCAACTGAAATGAAAGACTGTATGTATCTGTGTAACATTCCAAGCATATCTATCTATAAAATCTATCTCCATTTATTCAACTTCTGCCCTGAAGCTGAAAACATGTAGTAGTGGGAAATCTTCATTTGTAAGAAACCTAAGTAGAGTGGAGAGAAATACAGCTGAATCATCCTTGTTAGAAGAAATATTGGCAATTGGAAGCTTATTCTCTAAGGCCATTAATGTTATTACTCATGAAGAAAAAAATGAGATAAGGTGTGGGGAGCTGTCCCTGTTATCATATCCACTTGTAAATGTTTTTCTGCATGTTTATTTGTTCCCAGGCTAAAGAAGCTGCCAAAGAAAATAACTGCTGCTTTGGAACGATTGACACATGGTTGCTATATAGGCTGACGAAAGGTGAATTTTAGAGTCACTCGTAAACATGAATAAAACATAATAGAATCTAAGCAATTATGTTTATTGCATGTCATTGTTTTTTCCTAGAATTCAAATATATTTTGGCAGTTTTGCTTTTGTTATAGTCAGTGAATGTTGTGGAATTACTGTATACAAATATTTCCAAATTAATTATTCTTTGGGTCTGTCTGGAAGTGCAATAAGAAAGGGAAAGAATTATTCAGTATGATCACCACTTAAACATTTAAGATTTAGAGGAGAACTTGGTTTTGATTCTTTGATTCTGTGAATGCAGACAAATGAAAAAATATTTGTAATCATTTATTCAAGTGGGACGCAATTTTCAGAAACTAAAGAGGTGAGATACTAATAGTGGAGTCTGAAGGAGTTAGGCCTTTGTCATTTACCACCATATGTTAGGTTTTAGGTGGCAGAAATGTGTGAGTCATGGAAAAAGTTAGGAAGGACTTCTAGAGGTCATCAAGTCCAATCTCCTGCTCAAAACAGAGCTAGCTTCAATGTTAGGTCAGGTTGCTCGGAGTCTTGCTGTCCAGACCTTTGATTACATCCAGGGATGGAAATTCCATAACCTCCCTGGCTAGCTGTTAAAGTGCTTACAACACACCTGGTGAAATTCGTTTTCTTACATTCAGAGAAGGTGCCATTTGAAAGATAACTTTTAAATTATTAGGTCCCTTTTGTCACAAATATCCAGATCAGAAAGCTGCATGTGTCTGAAATTGGCTGCATCTGCAGTACATGGGCAGTAGATATTCAGGGTAATGTAGAATCCTGTCACAAATATGAAAGAATTATAGGGTGTTGTCCCAGAATAGGTAACTGTGTGAGGATGAATGCCTTCAATGAGCTGTTTACCAAAAAAAAAAAAAAATTGAAATGATTCTTAGATATTTAGGCATATAAACATCTTGCTTTCTTCTTTTTTTATTGTAGGTTCTGTGTATGCTACAGATTACTCAAATGCCAGTTCCACAGGGATTTTCGAACCTTTTATGGTATGTTGTTCAGAAAAAGATGTTCTTGCTATTTGTTTTGCATCTGAGAGAATCACTGACAATTTTACTTCTCCTATATAATTGCAGAAATGTTGGAACCCCACTTTGTCTAGTTTACTCTCCATACCAATGTCTGTTTATCCTCCAGTGAAGGACACAAGGTAACTATGGAGGCATTTTAGAAAAATACTACATAATATACACCAACAAAGTAATATATAAATAGACCAAAATAATAATAATAATGTGCAGCTTTTTTGATGTTACATCCAAAACTTCATTTTTATGAACCATCTTTTTTAAAGTGATAATATTAATGTTCTCTTTAAAAATAAATCAGTAGCATTACCTTCCACATATGATGCAGACTCAGCCCTTGTATCTTTAGGGATGTGATTTCACAAAAGAGTCAATTTAATGTTGTGATGGATCTCCATTACGTTTATTTTAAGCTTCAACTTTGGGTCATCTGACTCTGAAATATTTGGGGTACCTATTCCAATACTGGCCTTGGTGAGTGAAAAAAAATTTTATTTAAATCTAGATTTCTGTACCTATACTCTTTTAATGTAGCTCTGATTTAATAAGTATTTAGTAAGTTGTTTTTTTTCCTTCTTCCCCTTTTTTTTTTCCTGTATGACTTAACTGCAGTAGAATTGTTTGTTGAACTTTGCTCCAAAAACTCAGTTTACAACCTGGGAAAGGAGTAGAGAAAGGAACAGAGAATGAAAAGATGTCTTTAGGTTTTAAGGTCCATAAAGGTAAGATGACCTTAATATGGTTAAACACTAAAGCTAGGACTTAACAGAGCTGCATTCTAATCAAGCTCTGACACTAGCTTTCTCTTCATCTTTAAATCAGTTGTTCCTGGAACGGTTTTGCTGAAGTCTGGCTTGACTTCATTAGGACACAACACAGGTTGCTAATAGATCCTCATGTACTTCTGTTTTTTTTTGTTGCCTTCTCTGAAATATAAGGAGAATAAGATTTTCTTGTCTCAATAGTTATGATTTGGATGAGGAAAGCTTATTGTTTTTATTATGATAGCTTATGATATTATTTTATTATAATAGCTTGGAGGAAAATCTGTTCAAACTGAGTTAAACGGGAAAAAAATGTCATCTACCACATCTAATATTAATTCCTCCTGGTATTTTAGGGGAGTTATAAAATCAATTTATCTCTGAATTTCACCGTTTCTCTTTGCTTCACTAAGAAGCAAAGAGCAACAAATACATTTAACAGACATTGTCTTTGTTGGAAACAGGAGCATGGAATAGTTTAGTGCAAGAGTAGCAGCAGGGACAGAGAAATTTGAGACTTCACAACTTCAGCCTTGTATTTGGGGGGAGAGAAATTCAAGATAAGTAGATGTTGTCTGCTCCCCAAGATTGCAAAATCCTCATTTACCCTTCATGTCAAATGCCAAACATCAATTGTTTGGTTTTGTTTCCATAACATATTTTTAAAATGATAAAATGGTAAAATTCACAGAGTCCAAATCTCATAAAATTCATTCAAGTGATGAATGTGACTGTTAGAAGGGTCAGCAGATATCTAAGAAGTTGGATAGAAGTTCTTTCTTAATGCTCAGTTAGTTTCTGAATGGCTATTTATATCCAGAACTTTTAAACTATCATGTAATTGTTTCAAATCCAGCAGCTCTGTAGGTTTGTCATTGACTTGATGGTATTCTTGTTTGTTTGGCAGGTAGCTGATCAGCAGGCAGCCATGTTTGGAGAATGCTGCTTTCACCCTGGAGATATTAAACTGACTATGGGAACAGGTGCTTTCTGGAATGTCAATACTGGGGAAAATCTCTTTTCATCATGGAGAGGTAGGCTGGTGAAATTTTGGGCTTTGGGTATTTTATGTTATTGTACAGCTCTTAATGACACGGTTACAAAAAGGGCTAAAATGCAGTTATTTTCTTCCTTATGTTTTTTGCTGTAGGAAGATAGCTTGAAAACATTCTCAGAAGAAAAGTGTGTGGAAAATTTTAACTAAAGTGTAAATTTTGGCTATCCTGAAATATGCTTCTCAGTATACTTCTACTTTATTATTTTCCTTCCCCATTTCTTGATAGCAGTATTATACAATACGGGAATAGAGATAAAGGGGATTGGTCCTCTGTTGTCTTACATCACAATCTTCCAGTGTATGTATGGCTGTAAATTCTGCTTCTTGACCCCTTAGGTTTGGAATATTTGCCATGAGATTCACAGGATGAGCAATTATTGTTCTTTAAAATGCTAGAAATGAGCTCCCTACTGCTTTCCTGGTGTGTTAAAATTCTGTAGTTACGAACATTTGTGGTCTGCCAAGCTCGTTCATTTGTTGTAGATGATCATTTATCAAGAGAACCACAGCTGATACTGAATTATATTTGCCTGCACACTGTCTCTCGCTGTCTGTCATATTTTTAAATAGCTACTGATTTCTAGAAGCCAACAGTTTAAGGTAGGGTGGAGACTGGTGCTCAGAAGACTTTTTACCAGCTAGAGTTGGAAGGGACCTGGCAAATAGTTGAGACTTATCAAAACTGACTGGCACTGACTTTTATTTTGTTGGGAATCCAAGTGCTGTTTAGGTTAATTAATGCTTATAATTATGCTATTTCTACTTCTGAATTCTACTGTATGCATTACATAGAAATGCAATAGAAAAACATATGGTAAGATTTTTCCAATTTGTCTCAAGAAAACCTTTGGCTATTGTGATCTACTAGAAGTTGGTGTTTTTTTTTGTTTTGTTTTGTTCTCTCTCAGATCAAAGCTATGAAATCCTTTCTTATAGCTTTAGGCTGTATTATTTGTACTAAAGTTATTTCCTCCCTTTACTGTTATGTGGTGGTCATAGGGCACATGAAAAAGGTTAATAGGACAAGGTAGATTTTTTCAGTTCCCTGAGTGTAAAATGTAATCTGTGTTCCATCGTTAAAGTTGACATACGTATTTGAGATTGCAAAATGAATCCCTACAGAATTTGTCAGCAAGCTTTTTGTTAGCTACTGCCCTAATTTCTGAACTACATGTAAATCGTATATGCAATAGTTTAAAAAATTAAAAGTTCCTCGAACAATGTTTTCCACAATTCAGTCATAGCAGCATGAGAGCATATTGATCAGCTTGAAAGATATTTGTGTTGCTGGGGCCTTGCGAGGGTTTTACTGCAGTGCCCACCTGAAGAAACAATTTGTCAAGCTGCAAACCTGGGAAAATGTCCACTGCTCAGCTAGATGCTAAATCCTTTTGCTTTAGTGTTAGGCAGTCATTTTATGTCCTGCCTAACCATACTGATAACATACGGTGAAAGCGTGATTTGACAAAGATATTCTTTTCAGGTTGGCAGGTGCCCAAGGACTTCGAATTTTTGAAGTTATTGCAGAGTTAAAGCTGAGACACTCCCCAGAGACTTGTGTTCTGTGTTCCTACAAACATGTCAAGTTATTTGTGTTCACATTGAAGTAATAAGTCTCTATTTATTTATTTATAAGGTTTCAACACTTCCCTAGACAGGGACAAAAATTAAATTACTGTGTTTATTCTCATTATTGACTGTTTATTTCTAAATGTGATAGTACTTTCTAGCAGGCAACTCTTTGGAAGATGCCATTATATAGTCATAGAATCATTAAGGTTGGAAGGGACCTCTAGAGGTCATCTGGTCCAGCCCCCCTGCACACGCAGGGTCACCTAGAGCACGTGGCACAGGACTGCGTCCAAGCGGGTTTGGAAGATCTCCAGAGAAGGAGACTCCACAACCTCTCTGGGCAGCCTGTGCCAGTGCTCTGTCACCCTCACTGTTAAGAAATTTTTCCTTAAACTAACAGTTTAGTCTCTGTATTTCTACTTTCCTTAAAGAAAAGGAGGAAATATTCTGTTTTTCATGAAACACTGTGAAGACGAAAGTTTTTATTGGAAATCATAACATCCTGCAGATCCCTTCCTGTAAACCATGGATGTGTTAGTCTTGTGTGACAAGCTTGATCTGCAGCTACCATTTTTTTTAAATGAGTTTGGAGGTTTGTTTGTTAGGTTTTTTATATTAGGAAACATACTGGTAAAATGCTATACTTAGTGACAATAAGCTTTGTGGTCACAGTGGTGGACAAATCGTGGCACTTTATTATTTTTTCTTTCGGTAGGAGGAAGCACTGTGTAATAAAAATGAATTCAGAAAGTATATCACCATTTCATTCTCTTCTATGAGTAGGGTCTATGTTATAAGTGTGTGTGGCTTTTTCTTTGTTGATAAGTCTATTTTAGTATATATCTGGAAGCCCAACCCTCATGTTCTATGTTTTGAGGAAGTAAATTCAGACTTGGAAACCACTGGGGGGATACTAGATGGATTAAAAAAAAAAAAAAAAAGATTTTTTTCTTGAGTATTTGCAGTTTCTTCTTTTTTTAAAGTTGACATTTGCAAATGTAAGTGCCAGCAGCTGTTTAAAAACCATTCTTTATAATTTGACAGGGATTTTTAGCTCACCTTTAATTTTGAAATTAATGTTCAAATCATTTTCACTTATGCCATTTAAATTCTAAACAGAAAACTTAATCTGTATCAGCAATGTTCTAGCTTGAACATTACAAAGGAAGTGAACAAGAACTACATTTTTATTTGGTTTATTGCGGGAGGTGTTTGCATGTGTTTTCCTGGAAGCGTTTAACTTAGGTGTTTTGTTTTGTTTCATGGAAAATAATAAAGACCTCTATCCACTGATTGGCTGGAAGATTGGGGATGAAGTTGTTTATTTAACTGAAGGCTCTTTATCAAATGTTGGCACTGCCATAAAATGGGCACAGGAAATAAGTAAGTAGTTCTATAATTTTATAGCAGAGTAAAATATGCTTTATATAAGGCAAACAGAATGAAAGGATTTTTAGCCAGCCAGCATTAAAAATAGAAGTGACCTACTGTTAAGACCATGGGCAAAAGTTTCGGAAGTTGCAGAGGGAGGAAAAAAAAAATCGGGCACATTGCTGTAAGCTAGTAAGCAAGATCCTTATTCTTAGGGGTTGTGATTGCAGCGGAGTTGAATTGTAAGTGTTCTAATTAAACAAAAGATACAAAGTACTGAATTTTTTGTTAGCTTTGCAGCTAAAAAGAAGGGTAAAACTTTTGCTCTGCAGAAATCATTGGCTGGAAGCTAAGGCAAGCTGATAGCCTCAGAATTTCATTTTCATTAAAGAGGATGAGGCTGCACGTGGATGAAGATAAGATATGCAATAGGAGCAACAGTTTTGAAATAAGAATTTCTGTAGCAGAGTAAACTTAGTTTAATGGGCCTTTTTAGTGGATCTTCCATCTCAGGGTTTCAAAAAAGTCATATGTGAAATTTTAATGGTGAGGTTTATCTTATTTGCTTGTATTTATCGCTTTCTCTTCTGCCATAGTGGTACTATATACTTCAACAGTAGCAACTATAACAAAAAAGAGAAGTGGTAGTTTAGTCTTATTAGCCCTACCTCTGTAGATTGCGAAGTGTTTGATCAAATTTATTAATGATAGAGGAGTAAATTACCTAGGTATTTTTGCCGGGGGGGTGCAAATTGAGCAAGATTAACCTGTCTTTGATAGACAATTTACTTGTTAGACAAGAAAAAGCAATAGACTTCAGTGCAACGTTCTTTGTGGCCTCAGAAGGAAATTATTAAGTGTAATTATTAAGTATAGAAGATGGATTCTACATATGAGAATTGCCTCTGCGTGAAGAACAAGCTAAAAAGGGAATGTCTGTTTTGAAGGGAGAGGAATCAAGCTGGAAGATGACTAAACATAATGTGTATCGAAGACTTGGTATTTGAGACCTACCTTGTTTGTACTTCGATGCTAGGCATTTTTGTAAAAATAATAAATAAATGCAAGTCTCCTGATAAAGCATGGTCAGTAATCAGAACTTATTAGTCATCAGTGCTTAGGCTGACAACTGCATCCTGGAAGAAAAGATGTTTTATGTTTTTTTGCAACACTTAGGTTTTTAATAGATTTATAGGGTGCTGCTGTTACCCATCCATTTATATCCATATTTCTAGAAAACTAACGGCCTTCTTAATGGATGTGAAAATTAAAAGGCTGTAGCATAAAAGATAGGAAGGAGTCTTTTTGAGTTTAGCCTATATCTAAGTAGAATTTTTTTATGTGACTGATGTAAATGAACTATGAGGGAATATTGTTTTCTGTTAGAATGTGTTGGATTGAAAAATACTGCAAAAGGAAATAGGTAACTCTGGATTTTAAGAAGTTTATAAAAAGAACAAAATAAACATTAAAAGCATATGAGCTGTGCATCTTCTACAGATCTTTTCACCAATGTGGATGAAACAGCAAAAATGGCACAGAGTGTTACTGATTCTGAAGGCGTTTGTTTTCTTCCAAGTTGTCAGGTAAAATAGTTATTATTACTATAACTGAGAATATATTCCTAACACCATTAAAAGTATAACCTATTGTTTTTACGTTTAGTAATTTGAATCTTACCACCATGCATTCTATCAACTGTCTTCTACCCAGGATCTTAGACTGTGTCCCTCACCACAACTGCAGATGATTGTGATATCAGAATACTTAAAACCACAAGAAAAAAGCATATGAAGTAGGAAAACTAGTTCTATTTTGCAAATGGAGAAATGAGGCACAGATAAACCAAGTGTGACATCCGCACAATAACACGGGCAGCATCTGTAGATAGAGAAAACACGTAGCTTTGTCTCATGCAGAGCCTTCATTGAGATGATACCTTCAAAGCACTGTGATAAAATAGTTAATTTTATTCTGTACCTTTTCAAGATAAATTGCAATTCAGCAGAGTGCCTAAATATGAGTAAATTTGTTTTTCTGGAATATCTGATTTTAATCTGGACTATGTATTCCTCTATTTTACTCCAGGATTAATACTTTGCTGCTGTTTTTACTGACCACAGTGAGCAGGAGCTCCTGGATTTTGTTCTCCATTTTTTCCCCTTGTTTTCCCAGTAGCTTCCTTGTAACTTCCTCTTTATTTGAGGCACTTCCTGCAATTCCTTTGTTCCCTTCAGGTCACAAGCTTATTTCTTATTTTCTGTTTATGCTGGAGACCATATCCTTATGCTTGTCCTTTCCATCTCTGATTCATGATCCCTCTCAGCTTTGGTTACAGAGCTGGGTCACTGTCCTTGTGTGGAGATGACAAAGGGTGGTATTGATGCTGCAGTTCAGTATTGGTTTAGAATGGAATTGATGGGAATTTCAGTTAATATGCTAAATAACAAACAAAAATCGTGATAGCTGAGGAGTTGACATACTGCCTCTTCAGCCAGAGAGCAGGTGCTTTGCTAATAGTTGTAATAATTAGTGATTTGTCACCACAAAATATGAAAGAATTGCAAGTCACATACTTCTTTACAGAATGGAAATAAAAAGTTTTTTGTAATACAACTGTTGCTAGCCTAAGTATTATGTAGAGCTCGAGAAGTGGAGAGACCTAACATTACCTGATATTGATGGAAAAAGGCACAGGAAAGTTTAATTTCCTTTACAGAGAGTCCAGCTACCTTGTCTCAAACAGCTGCCTTAGTCATTAATTTTATTTTTAGATATATAGCACTTGGTTAGGATTCTACCATGTGCTGTTTATACAGTGATTAATTGTGCTTTAAGAAAGCAAGTGTTGAGCCATGTCAAACTCTTGTATTTGTAGACAGGAATCCTGAGGTTGACAAATACTGATCTGAATCTTCTCTTAACCTCTGGTTCAGTTAATGTTTGCTCCAGAGATATTGGTAACGCCTCCCTTTTTCAGTTTGTATTTTTTCTTTCCCTTTTTTTTCTTTTTTTTTCCTCCTGCTTTCTTGATAACCTTTCTGCAGATAGGTTTACCAACAACTAAGTTCTTGGTAACATCTACTGAGTCTTTCTTTACTGGATTCTAGTAAGCTCAATACAAATTTAAGAGCTGTACTTAGGAGAAACTCTGTGAAAGGATTTCTCTTTAATTTGGATACCTGGTAAACTATAATACGTGGTGTGGGTTTTTTGTTTTTTGTTTTTTTTTTTTTTGGCTTTTAAAAGCCTTCCTTATCTGGTGGGATTTGCACAGCAAAATTGACTCGCTGTACCTGGATCACTTTAGATGTGATTTAAATGGTATGAAAAGGGACATGAACAGTGTCAAATACTTGTATAACTGTAAAATATCTTTTCTGTTTCACTAACTAGATCCTAATGCAAGTTTGATTATATTGCATATTCCTTAGACCTCAAATGACAACAGTTAGAATTTTTATGAAGTCCATGTGTTCATTTCCTACAGACAGTAAAATGTTCTCTGCTAATCCGTATTAAGGTAGTAAAAATGTGTTTCTTACTGAATTTATACTGCTGTGATGCATTACATTGTGAGGAACATCGTAATGGAAGTTTGTATGAAAATGAATGTGTGCATTAATAATTTACTTATTCATCTAGAAATAAGTTTCCCAGACTTAATTTGCTGTGATTGATAGTAGCAACAAAAACTTAACAGCCTTTTTTTAGGTGGCATGAATATATATGCACAAGATTACACACCGGCATTCTTTTTTGTTTATTTTTTTGAGGGCTGTGCTTCTTTCAAGATGCAGAATACAACATAATACAATTAGAAGAACCCATTACAGTTTAAAAAAACAACTGCCTACGGTGTTTACGGGGGATTTAATGTTGTCACAAACCAGCTATGAACTAGCAAACCGGTATTTTGTCAGGAAGTTCACCAAAGAAATGGAGGAGGAATAGAGAGGAGATTCATAAATCTGTCTTGCAGTTCTTCTGCAAAAAAAAAAAAAAAAAAGATAACTGGATAATCATTAAAATTTTAATGAGAATATGTTATGCTATAGTCATTGAAAAGGGACTGTAGTATAAATTTATAAAAGTAATTACTAGCCTTCTCAGTGCTGTTTAAAAAACAGTCTTTTTGAGCATTCCAGAAGCTGTAAAAAAAAAAAAAAAAAACCCACAGTAAAAGTGTAGTTTTGCTAGCAAACAACAGTGTCAGTGTGCCCTGTCCGAGACACTTTAATTGTATGCTGTTTTTTTTTTAAGATATGTTCTATTTAATATAAAGACCCCAGAAGTCTCTTACAGTAAACCTTTTGCTGTTGAAAGAAACTATTTAAACTGTTCACTGAGTAGCTAAAATAACACTATATACTGCTTACATATTGTTTTCAATTTTCTTCTTTCACTATGCTGCCTATAATTGTCGTAAGTTATTTTTTTCCTTACTATTTGACACTCTTCTCAAAAGCCATCAAATACAATTCACTGAACTCATTGTGAAATCTTTTCTGCAGGTTTCTGTGAATGACCCATATTCATGTGCCTCTTTCATGGGGCTGAAACCTTCTACTACCAGAAACCATCTTGTGCGTGCTATATTGGAATCTGTAGCTTTCAGGTAAAGCTTTTGTTCATAATTTTTTATATTCATTATTTGTATGGATCAACTGTGTCAAATGGACACATGGCATCAGCAACTTGAAAATACAAAATGTAACAGTGCATTGTCGTAATATCGACAGCGACTTTTAGCTTCTTCCGTTATTTTCTTGTATATTAAATTGGAGTTATTGTTATTAAGCAATCGCATAAAGATCCCTAAATTATTTTGCTTTTGGCATATTCTAATCAAAGAACACTGTTTAGAGTTAGTCCTTGTTCTGCAATGTTTTGGTAGAAGAAAGAAAGCCTTTGTAGGCCTCTCTAGCTGTGTTACAGTATCCCTGGAGCTGAAAGTTAGATATTTGGCTAAAGTTTGTATACTTGAGTGTAGTAATAAACATCTTTGAAGATATGGATGGAAAAAAAACCTTACAGATCAATCAAGGTGAAACAAATTCTGCTAGTTAATGATGTTATCACATCAATACCTAGCTGTGAAACAGATTCATTCTGCCTTGCAAACTCCGCCAGCATGCCTGGAACTGAGGATGAATGTACATATAGCCTGACACTTTGCAGTGTGGTTAATTAGGGAAACTCATACCCCTTCTGTCTAGCCACCAGCTTGGCTTTGGGCATAGTAACTTCCAGCAAAGAGGGGAAAAAATGATTTGGAGAAGGTAAAATTCTAACTTACTGCAAATGTTTCTAAAGCATTTTTTTTCTTTACTGTAAGAGAAACATTAGTTGCTAATTGAGTGTGGAATTAAACACTGAATGTCTTAAAAACAGATATGTTGAGTATCTCATCTCATCCAAAAACCTGCACCGAAAAAGGCCAGAAACCATTTGGCTTTAGATTTGCCCCCATTAAGTGGAATGTCTTCAGAAGAAATCAAACTTACAGCCTTGAGAGTTCCTTTGAGACAGCTGGAGAAACTCTACATTTCTGTCATTTGCTTTCCTTACTTGAAATCACTCGTTATATCAACCATATTGTCCTGTCTGTGAAGGAACACTTTGTGTGGTATATATGGTAATGTTTAATTGAGCTAAAATTTCTTTTGAAGAAACAAACAACTCTATGATCTCATTGTGAAAAGGATAGACATTCCTCTTCGAACTATTCGGTAAGTTCCATTTAACTTAATGAGAGGTTTTTTTTAGATAGATGTGAACTTGACTTTGTCTTATTGTAACCACTAAGAAATAGATAATTGATTACCAGGTCAAATGTTGATGTAATTTTAAAAGTGGCAGGGGGGGATATCTGCAAGTGGGTCAATTACTAGTTAAATTATTGGCGTTGATGACTGTCAACAGGTAGTTAAACTTGCACTGACTTTAGGGAAAAAAAAGGAAAATTTATGTTTTTATCTAGCATTGGGGTACATATAGCAATGCCTGTTATGAAGGTCACTTCCCTCTTTCTTACAAAGGGGGGATTTTTTACTGGATTATTTTGTGTTGGATCTGTCACAGGTTCATTTTTTTCTGAAGTCTTTGATTAAAAATGGATCTATTTGTGAGAGTAAGCAGAAGAATATTCTGTTG